TGATTTTCTTCATTGTTGAATTCATTTGCGAGTTATGTGCGACCCTGTTATTTACATAGCTGCCGTAGCTATCGCTACACCCAGGGTAGAAATGCTAACGCAAAAGCTACAAAGCTACAAGTGGTCCTCGGTGGACGGGGTTCCGTACCTGTGACGGCAGCCGAACAGATTGCCTTCTTCTGTGCAAAGTATCTCATCGCACAGCGATGGTGAGATTGTTGGAAACCAAGAACATCCTGTACCTACAAGTGAAGATAAAAAGACATCAAACATTAACAGCAAACTGGCATTTTTCTTCTTTGTCGACTTGACTAGCAGGTTACATGCCCGCCGCAATCTTCTACACTGTTTACCTAGCACGCGGCTAGTGTCACACCAGTGGTGAAAACACAAACAAAATCAAGGGGGAGTGTACCAAACCGTGTACATCGAACTGCATCGTTTGGTACACACTTTTTTTTTTTTTTTTTTTTACCATTTATACACCAGTCTCAACATATAAGGTTGGAAATAAAGCGGTAGCTATACAATATTTTTTACAGTGGCGTATCACTCAAATAATTGGCGAAAATTTTATTTTACATTATTTAACACAGTAGAGGGATGCCATGTTCAGGTATTGTTTTTGTCCACTTGGGGTCACAATACTCACATTCTACTATAGTATATCTGGACGTCTGTATAAGGTCTTCCTGACTGCAACCAAATTTCTCCCAAGTAGTAGAGTGCAGCATATACAGTTTGGTATGTTACACCTTCCGTTGCTTTGAGTTTCGCATAGCTGCGTCGAGCCATGTAAACAGCGTCGACATCATTCGCGGTGCGATTGCCCTATTTTCCGCACTACAAGGCGCATCGGATTATTAGACGCACTACTGTCTGCATTTTGGAGAAAATTGAATGTTTTTAGGTGCGCCTTATAGAGCGGAAAATACGGGAAATATTTTGCGCAGAGGCGGAAGAACACGTCCTAACACAGCACAACAAGGCACTCGTAACCTCCACACTTACTGTTTTTCAATTTGATGTCGGTCTGTAATTAATGCGAGTCGTTAATTGCCTTCATTCGAGGCTCTTGAAGCAGTTGCAATTGGAAGAAACATAGTACATTGACAATAAAATGTTTCCGGGTGACACTATGTAAAGAGCAGAGGTTCTCCTGCTAATTGTTTCCGCGGATGTGACGTTCAAGTGTCAGCACCTTTCACACACGGGCGCGCGTTTTCTCTGAGCTTCACACAGCCTATTTGATCCCTCCTGAAGACTGTCAACTTACCGCGCGTATCTATGGAAATTCAATTCTGCATTTATTTACACTCTAGGTTAATAGAATAGATGCTCTGGGTGATGTGTAAGTCAAACAACCACACCTGCCATTCATTTCTGTTTGTTTGTTTACTTTTTTTTTTTCTTTTTTTTTATGTGGGGAAAGATCTCAGGTTTTGTTCTGTGGGGCCCGAACACACAAAAGAGAGGATCGTCAGATCACCTGAATGGCTTATCCTCAACATTCATATCTAATGCAGCTTCAATAAAGCTACGATTTACATGACTGAAAAGCAGCAGGTGTTGGGAATATTTCCTTACAAACTCATTGTGATGCAGGTCCCCATGTGGCCTACATATACCGATGCTCTTTATGTACACACGTGTGCTGAGGAAAGCTGCAGGGCAGCGCCATGGCCCACTTTGAGTGAAACCGAGTGTCAATACAATCGGCAGCGTGCGCGCGAGTCACTTCCGGGAGCGTCAGAGCATACTTGTCACGCTGTCAAAACCGAAGACACACATGCCGAACGTGTCAATTGAACGCCGCCAGGCGTCTGTCAGTTTCTCCGTTGTGCTTAGTGGCACTAAATATTCATGCTTGCTTATCAGTCTGCTCACAGCCAAAGTGACTAGTGATATTAGGTAGCATCATAAGACACCCGCTCCTCCCCCCTTTTTTTTTCCGGCTAAACACGCTGATGATGCAACAGCAGCTTGGCGTTTGCAGCATGTCAATATAGGCCTTGCTGTGTGCTCTGTGACGGTGTCACAGGTCAATTCAACAAGAGGAAAGTGATATTACCTTCCACATAGGGAGGCTCCAGCATGACACGAAATGTGGGCATTCGCTAAACAACAGTGCCACTTGCTGGTAAAATGAAGAAGCTACAAAAACATCAAGCGAAGCGAAGGGAGGGTACGAGTACGGCTTTAAATCTGTACACGGAATTCTACCCCAGTACTGAAAACTTGAAAGTTAGGTGGGCCACGTCAAACACTTAAGTAAGAAATAAATAAACTAATAAATAAATACACGTATAGAAAAAAATAAAGCCTGATCAAAACTGATCAAAATGAAGCATCCCACCACCCCCCCAAATCACAGTCGTTGCCATTTGAAAATTGCATTCTACTACAGTGAGGTGTCAATTTGAATTTGATTACAGTAATTGTTCAGCAAGTTAAAGCTGCTTGTTTTTATCCAAGCAGAAGAAACTAATCCTTTAATAATTATTTAGTCACACTGAAACAAAATTAAGAGTGATTAGATAAATCTAGCATCTGCAGTGTGCATATTTTTACATTGTGGCATGCCTCAATCGGGCCTGCTTCAGCAAAGTTAGCTTTGAACTTAGCTAAAGCCGTATATAAATAAGAAAGTAGTAAAGTAAGTACAGTCAAGGAATTATAATTTTGAAATGTAACTGTTGTCTGCATTGTTCACCCCCCATGTAAACTATTGACGCTGCTTTCTCCTTAGACTAAGCTATTTCGTTCATGTCTGCTTAATTGACTTCTCTCCTGAACCATGTCTTTACAGACCATGTAAAGTGATTTCAGTGTTTTGTTTCTACATACATTAAATATGTTAGAAGATAAACACTGAAAATGTGTAGCTCGTCTGCCAAACTGCCATGTTATGTAAAACCACACATGACATTAAGAAAAAAAAACCGAGGAAGGTGGTGACATTTTAACAATGAAGCAAATCCGCTCTTTGTAATGGGGATGGGGAAATAATTCTAGGCTTGAAACCAGCATATATTCATGTATCAACTTCTTTGCTAGGCCAGCTTTTTTAAATATAAAGTGCACTACCGCTCCGCTTCGTCAAAACAGAGATCTCTTGAATTATTTTGTTTCATATTAGCAGCAGCAGTTGTCACTTTTGTTTTCTGGTGTTGATTTTGCTACCTCTGAGAACAGGCGAGGATGTGTGCCGCCATGGCACTGTTGACAGTCGCGGCCGCGAGGAGGATTGCTGGCGTGCAGATGGCGGCGGCGCACTTGTTCGCTTTTTTCATGGCTTAAACAGGCACAAAAAGCAGCCAAGGGACCAGGGCTTGTCTGCAGGAACGTGCCGGGTAAGAGTTGGTACTTGGCACAAGTAGCAGAAACAATTAGCGTCAAGGAAGCAGAGGCCCGAAGCAGTAGGGGGAGGGGCCGGGAGACAAAGATGGCGGCAAACCACGGCGACCCATTTTCATAAGCGGACCTTTAGGAAAGCTGTGTGAAATTCCCTTCCTTTCCTTTCCTTCTTGTCAGAGCCCAAACTTTTTTTCCCAGACAATTCGCGTCATGGCTCATCTCACTGATGTGTTCTTGTTTGTGCATTTCTAATGAGAATGCAGATAGAGGAAGCGTCGTGTCCTTGGAGAAACCTCACATCCCACCCACATCCCAGAATTTACCGCTTCCCTTTTGACTGTCTGCAGGTTTGAAGCTGGAGCGGAAACGCGGTTTATCCAAAACAATTTTCGTGTACAAAACACTGCTCATTATATTTTACCTGCTTTGAAGAAAAGTTAAAAGGAAAACCTATAAATTGAGAACAGATGAATCTTTTGTCATGGGATAGAGCTGCTCAGGAGGGACACACTAACACATTAAAAGAAACAAGAATGGCATGTCAGCGTGACTCTTTTGTCATGGGATAGAGCTGCTCAGCAGCTAACACATTAAAAGAAACAAGAATGGCATGTCAGCATGGCACTTGGAACTTTAAATTTTTCAACAATACTGTAGATGACCAAATATGTGCTGAACTTTGGTATTGTATCCGAATTTTCGCCAATTACCGAAGACTGTAGTCTATTTGGAGCACAATTAGGGTGAAACAGAATACGTAATAATATATTATTATTATTGTTGTTGTTGTTGTTATATTTTAATCGTGAATATTTGTAATGGACTATCTTATTTGAAAATTTGAATTTGGTTAATTATTTATTTATTTCAGGATTAAAACCCGGAAGTGGATGACGTTGCTGCACGTCGGACTTTTCTGATTCGGAAAAACGCCTCTTTGAACCGGGAGGTGCGAGTTACGAAGTCCCGGGGAAAAAAAGGTTCGCCGACCACTTCGTTGTGACGTCACCAAAATGGCGACACTAAGGAGACACAAAGCGTGAACGGCAAAATATAATTTACAAGTTTGTAAATATGATTTATTTTATATTTGCCAGTACTTATTTCTTTATTTTTTATATATTTTATTTCTAAAGTGTTTTTTGAATGTGTTTCTAATACCACGCAGTGGTTGGGCAAAATCTTATTTCCTAAATGCATCACTTTGCAGGAAAGCGACAAAAACTGCACATTAATTTTAAACCATCAAATAGAGAAAGACATTTTTAACACTTAACATTTGGCATTTTGTAAAAAAAAAAACAAGATGGGGAATCACCAATTGGATAGATATGTCAAAACAAATATAAAATTAACCAATTTCGGACGAGGTGGTTTTCAGGTGCAGCCGCTAAAACGTATTTTCATTATCTCAAATATACATACTGAGAATATTATTCAACAAACCTATCACATGGTTCCGCAACTTCATAGCGAGGCATGTATCACCAATTTCAGTTTGACACTCAAAATGGTTTATTGTCCTATAAGTGATATGATATAAATGACAATGCACGATGACAAATGGTACATCTTGAAATATTAGCATGAATACAACAGACTGAAAAAAGATCCGGCTGAACGTCAGTGTCCAAGGTCAAATAAACACATGTCTAACAGTGAACATTGGAGTCAAACAAAAACTGATCAATCCCTTCTTTGGCGAGAGAACATGGCTGCAGGCATCCAGTTTCTATTCTGCCTCGGACTGTCTGTGCTACTCACAGGTAAATGCTTTTTTGCGTGTGTATATAAATTGGATGGCAGATCAAGTAAAGGTAATGTCTTGAAGGCTTGGGAAGGACTGTGATTGTTGGAAAGAGTCACAGCCGAGGAAAGGATGACCCGGTGCTGCAATACGTTGTCAACAACTCACTAAGAGAGCATCCGGTCCTCACTAAACTCAAATTGGTAAGTAATAGAATAAAGAGGACATCTAAAATATCCTAGTTCTGGTTTTCAGCAGTTAATATATTGGCCACTAGATAGCAGCGTGCCACACACCATATTGAGAAAAGCATTATTATTATTAGTAGTAGTAGTAGTAGTAGTAGTAGTAGTCGTAGTATTTCATTTTTTACTAAACGTCCTTAAAGAGGGAGTTTGCAATTTTCACACAAAATAAACCATCATTATTCAAACAAAGACTGACAGTAAAAATAATTTTAAAAATGTCTATAATTTGCAGACAACTCAACTGTATTTATAGAGCACTGGGTATAAGATATTTATGATGGTTCAAACCTCAAATTTTCTTTGACATTTGAGGCTTATGATTTGTACTTTTTTCAGAGAACTCTCGATGACCAATGGCATGCCATGATGGTTTCCGTCGAACAAGCCCAGTTGATGGCCAATCTCATAAAACTGATTAACGCAACCAAGGCTATTGAAATCGGTGAGATTAAACCCAACCCATGAACACAAATACATTTTACTGAATTAAAATGGAATGCATCTTAATTGTTGTATTTTATTACCATTATTTTATACTTTGCAGGAATGTACACAGGGTACAATGCACTCAGTATGGCTTTGGCCATGCCTGAGAATGGACGCGTGGTAGCATGTGAAACAAACGACGCCTATGTAGAGATTGCCAAGCCCTTTTTTAAAGAGGTAACGTGATCTGGCAAGTTTATTTCGAGCAGATGTCACCAAACCTTGTGAAACTGAAACCAACATTTGGGTGCTGATGATTGTGAAGGGGTACCAGTTTGATACACATTTCTGAAATAACACATTTGCTCAAATGTTATGTTATCATTAATAAATAATAATGCTCATCGGTGTGAAGACATTAATCAGTCCTGTGAGTGTTAAGCATCTTTCTACTTTTGTTGCGACACCATTTGTTTTCAAATATCCGTTGCGTGAAGTATTATTCGCTCGCCCATCTATGGCGTTTCCGATTTTGTGTTAGCATTAAGGTAGCGCACTTAAAGACAGAATTATGTGACTGTTTTACATCCATTTGTAATTGTTGTAAAGTCAGTTGAGGTCACTGCCACCATACAGCGCTGAGACGTTAAATTCTTGCTCGCTCTTCAAAGCAAATAAATAGTCCAGACGACCGTTCGTAAGTCAGGTCAGTCGTATCTCAAAGCACTGCTATACGAGCCCCTAAATTTTAGTTACTCTGAAGTACAAAATGGCCCAAATTCATGAATAGTAAAAAGCCTTACACAACAGTACTTTATAAGCAATATATTCTTCCTCCAGGCCGAAGTGGAGAATAAGATCAACATACGACTCCAGATGGCAATGACAACGCTTGGTAAGTGATTTGTGATCAAAGTTTGACTTGCGCTTGAATTGTTGACATTCATCTCTATTTCCTGTAGATGAACTGATAGCAGCTGCTGAAACCGGAACCTTTGACTTTGTGTTTATCGATGCCGACAAATCCAACTACGATGGATACTATGAAAAGTCCCTGGAGCTCGTTCGGAAAGGGGGCATCATTGCCATCGACAATGTAGGTCCACAAGATGTACACAACGTGCTGGGCGTGGAGGTGATGTTTAATGTGTGTGTGCTGGTGTGCGTGCAGGTGCTGTGGAGCGGAAGAGTTGTGGATCCTGCCCCCGATGACGTCACCTCTCGGACTCTGGATGCTCTCAACAAGAAGCTCCACAAAGACCAGAGGATCGATCTGAGCATGCTCACTGTCGGGGACGGGCTGAGCATTGCCATTAAACGCTAAATGGACTTCAAGATAATTACATCTGCATTAAAGGCAGTTTGGTATTTTTTGGAGTCATGACATTAGTCTTTGCCGTATTCACATTTTTCAGGGGAATTTGACCCCAATTGTTGCTGAAAAACTCACCTTTTATTTTTTATTTTTGGTGCTTTCTGAAACATCTTAAGATCTCACAAGATTGCATTAAAATTCCCATCAAAAAAGGAAAATAGAAACTGTGGTACAAGGAAGCACCTTGAAATCTTTTTTTTTCTATGTCAAGAGGGAGACAAGTTTAGCCTGTGTTGTGGCATGTGCAGAATGAATAAATAGGAAACATTATGGGGTGGGGCCAAATACTTCGTTTCAAAAGGGGGAGCTTTGGAGACATTTTATGTTCACCTAATTTTTCCAAAAGGAAATGTCTCGTGCATTTTCTCCATCTTTGAGGCAAGGAACCTATTTTATATTAAAATGTCATGGTACACAACCAAACGAACACGGAAATAACGATCTTGTCTCGGTTTACTCACTCAGTGCAAAATCTCGGCCTGTTTAATTCAACCACAAGTACACTCACAGGAAAGTATGATTTTTTGTTTTTTAATGAATCGCCATAGGTGGATACCGAGGTTCCTTGTACCTTCTGCCATCTAGTGGAGGAGTGTTTCATTGTTTTGCCTGTCACTATTCATCCCTGGCATATGGATGAGCAAAGACAAATTTGTGATGAATTATTTTCCGACAAATTAAGCGAAATAGGCTAATTTCTCACAGCACCCTACTTGGGAATCACTGGTCTCATTTGTTTGTTCAGGAACCCTTATGAAATAAGTAGGCAATATTTCACAAACATTCGTAAGTCATCAAAGCGTATGGCTACGTATGCACTGTGCCTATGTACTAATTAATAAAATAACAGCAAGACTATCCTCGCAATAAATTCAAGTCGGTCGTATTTTGCGGCAACACTCCATGAGCCAGTTGTAGGATGGAGACTTTATTGAAAAGGTAACATAGACAAAAGAACCTTCATGGTCCTCCTTGTAGTGGGAGGAGACTTACAGTTAACTCCTCTTTAACATTTGATTTCAGAAGTTTGGCATCGCTTTCAAGCACTCAGAGCCTCCCCAAGTGCGTTTTTGTTGGTGTGGTCAGTGGACTGGTTTCTGATGACCGTCGGGACGTTGTGTGCGCGGGGAGGAGGCTTTGCACCTTTATTTAAATAGCAACGGAAGAAAGCCTAGTGTACTTTAAAACTGAGGAATATCAGACGGTGGTGTTTTAACAAGAAATCACAGCGGGGATGACAGCACTCATCGTACAAATACGGAGTGTCTGGTAAGATGACAAAGCCACACGGGCACAGTTACGCACGATTGGGATTGTATTGGATTTATGGCAGTGCTGGACAGGAACCATGACGTTTCAGTTATATAAATAATATGCCACCTGACTCTCACAACTAGAAAGCAACAAAAAAGCACCAGCATGACGGTGGTGCTCACTCAAGTGAAGAGTTTTTGTTGTAGCCTTTGTGAACCCGATCTCTTGTCCCCACTTTTGCTGGTTGGGAAATGCGTAAGGCCAAATTTCTTCTGATATTCCGGAGTTCCTGGGTGTGGGAGAAGAAGCTTAGGCCTCCAGTTCCAAGCCCAGACCCAGCTTGTGGCCTCCGGCGTTGATGTTCTTGCCGTCAACCAGGCCGGCCAGGGTGAGCTTCACACCTGGGCAGGAATGGGAGACAACGTTAGTGCTACCGGTTACATGTTCAAACTACTTACTCGAGATATACTGGTATCGATATACTACTTGGAAAACACTGCTTTAATACTACGGCATCGATACCACTCCACTAGCCTGACATACGCCTTTTGGGGAAGAGGAATGTCACCAAAATGGGGGATACTTAAGTTAAATTTATTTTATATTATGTTATTACATTACGGAATGTCTTTTCATACTTATTTGTCATGTCCGTGTTTATCGTAGTTGCTTGTTGTTGATGATGATACTAGTGTAGCCTAAACTACCGGAGACAAATTCCATGTGTATTCTACATACTTGGCCAATAAAGATGATTCTGATATTTAAAAGGAGCCCGATTACTATCAACAGATAATTCAGTTTCATGTGTTCTTTTTTTTCATTTACTTACCATTTATTTTTATCCCATTTACGCTGCCATGATGTACAACACATGCCAATTGCGATCAAGAAATTGGAATGGTGTCACTTGAATCAAGCAGTGTGAATCCAGCCTTTGTGTTTTTGCTCAATCTAGTGCAGACGTTGCTAAATCTAACTTTAAATAAGTCAGACATTTGTCAAAATTCAAGGAGATAACATTAAGATGTTTGTAAAACATTAAGAAACCACTGTGTACTCCGAATGGGCTTTTGGATTTTGCCCTTGTTCCAGTCAACACGTGGACAAACGTACAACTATGCGGTGTTCCCGAATTTATGAGTTCTCTCCCAATCGCAGCGTAACCGGGATTTGTATGCAAGTCAGAACGTGCCGTTGTCACTAACACTACAGATATTTATATGAAAAACACATGCGGGCCTTAACTGTAAAACAAATGAGAAACGTTAGGCACTGCACTAATTAAGCGTGCCTCCTTGAACCCAGTGACAACATATTCTCACAGCCCTGCGCAAACTAGTTCATTGCACATCTGGAGTAATCTGGAGACAACGTATGCGAGCGACTGCTGGGAACCGAGGACAATATGGACAAAGTGCCAACACAACAACCGTGAAAGATTATATGGGATTCATAAACATCCGCACAGTACTCAGCAGCTCTGCTGCAACAAAATGTTTCATTGACTTCTTCCTCACCCCTCATTTTAAAATATGCTCAACAATTTACGAGTCTTACATGATGGAAGGTCAACTGAGTGTATGGGAGTGCTTTCAAACTGGTTGGACATCCACAGAAGGCCACATTTACAAAAGGTCGGCTCAAACTGTTGGGTGCAAGCAGCTCACCTGGTCTGAGGGTCTGGGTGTAGCCAACACCAACAAGGCTGTTGTTGTTCACTTTAGCCTGAAAAAATTACAAAAAAGGGGGCGTGCTTAAGTACTTTGACAACTTTGCATTTGTTTCACTGCCTTGCTGCTGCTGTACTTACGCTGACGGAGGCATCCTTGTCCAGCTGGTATTTGGCGGCGATGCCAAAGCGTGTGCTGTTGCTGCCTGCGGTCCACGCCAGGTTGACAGCAGTCTCAAGCTTGTCGCTCACCTTCTGGTAGATGGAGCCGCCAAACTCTGCACCGTCATTGCTTTGGAAGAGAACAACAATCGGGGAGACTTCATAATTCAGCCCCTCATGTTAATGTGGTTTTCTACCACACAGTTATTAAAGGTTCTTGTTTGACAATTCAGATTTGAGGCTCTATGATGGAAATATTTTTTGTGTTTCACTGTGTTGACCCATCCATAAGGGGGAAAAAAAACACACAAAAGTGCCTTGCAATAACATCTGTTGTGAATTGGTGCTACAGGAATAAAATGTCATCAAAGAACGTTATCTTAACGGCTTGCGTTACTGACACATTTGTGTGCAGCTGGAAGTCTCCGGTCTTGTAGCCAATGGCAAAGTTGTTCTGGGTCATCTTGGACTTGGCGGTGTCGAAGGTCATCTGGTAGCCTGCGAGCCAACCCTCGTAGCCGACGACGGCCGCACCGTGGATGGTGGGGCCGGCAAAGTCGAAGTCCACGTCGCAGCCCAAGTTGACGTATTCGCGCTTGTAGGCGGTCTTGACCTTGCCGCTCTTCTTGCTGTTGAGGTACACACAAGACAAATCAAGGTACACATATTCAAATCTTGCTAGCAGCTCTAACATGGCAGACTGAAACTACATTAAGACTGATACAATAGACTTTTTCAATTTTGGCAGTAGATTTTAGTAGGTTGTCAATTCACGAGAATGGAGACCATTTTGGAAAACGGAATTTTTGGGACATGTACAGTATGACCCAAGAAAATCCACTTCAAGCTAGCCAGCTGACTGACAAGTCATTCCAGAAGCAATGTTTAGATCTTGTTACTAAGGGGGGCCAGCAACCAAAGTAGACCATCTTGAAGTACTCTAAAGCAGGGGTCCCCAACCGCCGGTCCGCGGACCGGTACCGGTCCGCAGGGCATTTGGTACCGGGCCGCACAGAAAGAACTTGCCTTATTTCCGT